GGCCGGCCGCGCAGGCCAATCAGCGCCGGGCTCCTACCGGCCCCGCCTTCGGCCCCGCCCCCGGCCGCCTCCGCTCAGGCTCCGCGGGGGCGCGCCCGGCATCCCCTGCGCCGACCAGCAGCCATCTTGGAGAAGGGCAGGAGAAGGCCCAGCCGCGCGGCAGAGTGAGGGCAGAACAGAGCGGCCGCCAGGCTCGTTGTGGGGCGCTCGTGTCGTGAGCAGACCCACCCGGTGGTACCTCGGGTCAGTGCCGAACAGTGGGAACGCGGGGGAGGACCCTGCCCGAAATGGGTCCAAAGAGTGGCTCCCCTCCCTCGCGAGTTACTCCGGAATGTGCTCACGAAGGTTTGTACGAACAAAAAGGGGAAGGTACCAAATCAGCGTTCCCTCCTAACTATGTCTAAGTTCACAAAAAGCGTTTAATCGAAAACTGTGCTTCCGGGTAGTTAATTTGAAACGAATAGGCAATCTTTACTTTTAGGCAACATGAAAAGTGAACAGCTTATTTATTTTTTGAAAGCCCGTATTAAGAGCAACTAGAACTATCAGATGGGGAGAATCTATCTAAAAGATAAATTCACACTTGCAAAACCCAAATTAACCCTAATTCAACCATCCTAAGAAGACAAAAGGAAAGAATAGAGGACAATTTCACAAACAAAGCTATTCTTTAATATGGCATTGATTTTACAAGTGGTCTACAATCAGGAATTACAGTTACCTGCTTATTTCAAAGTAACTTGTAATTTCAACATCTATGTCAGTTGAAAACTTTTGGCAACTAATAATTTAAGATCAATTGAAACTGCCTTTAGCAATTCAGTAGCTCCTTGTATTTGTTTTGCAATGATTCTTGGAAATTGCAAAATTTCTTTGACCATATTACTACCACAGCCACGCTTCTATTTGTGTAGGTATCGCCAAATACCTTCAAAAAAAAACCATGCTCTGGGGAAAATTTTTGAGAGGGTTTTTGCTATAAGGCGCATGTGCTCACCAGAAAGACAGAAAGCGAGAAATCACCCTCCAGGGAGCATATCCACCCCACAATCCCTCTCGATATCTCGGGCATGCACGCACACATGCCCAGTGTGAGTTTAAGCCACCGGGTATGGGACTTGAACCGTGGTTGACTACGTGGGAGTCCAGCAACATAGTCATTATGCCAACTACTGGTCCCTGGGGAAAAAAACTTTAAATAGTGAATTATTTGAAGTGATGTAGTAGCACATACTGGACATTGGGAAGTCAGAAACTAAAGTTTTGATTGGCTCTATCACTCACAAGATATATATATATTTTTTAGGCTTTCTACATTTTTCCCATATGGCGTATACACACGCCAAGAGAGAGCCAGAGAGAGGGAAAGTGAGTAATCACGGGAGGGGATGGCCACACCACAATCCCTTCTCCTCCATTCTCCTGGGGTTTTGGACACAATACATGGTATGGATGGCATACACACATGCGTGCCATGTACACCTGGCATGAGTTTCAAGCTACCTTATCTGGGACTCAAATCGCAGTCAGCAACATGGAAGTCCAGTGCAGGGGGAAAAAAAAAAAAGAGGCAAGGAAGAGAGAGCTAGAGAAGAAAAATTTAAGGGGTGTCGAATCTTTTTGCTTTTATTCAACCTTGCCTTTGTGGTCTTTTTCATCCCCTAGTTATCTATGGTTTAAGTACTGCCTCACTTCGGTAATAGCCATATTTGTGTCTCTAGCTAGACTCTTCTTTGAACCCTCAGCTTCTCTATTTAATGGTTACTCTTCTCTGATGTCTAACAGGCACCTAAACTTAGCAAGTTCAAAACGAAGCTTCTGACTCCCATTCTCAGCTTCATCCATAACTTTCCCATCTTGGGGAATAGAACTCTACTCTTTCAGTTCCTAGGGTTGGGATCCTTGATTTCTCCCTTCTTAGGTCACAGCTTGTCTATCACCAAGCCTTGTCAGCTCTGCTTGTAAAATCTACCCAGGATCCACCACTTCTCACCACTTCCACCATTCTGTCCACCAGGATTACTTAACAGCCGGGGTGGTCTCTCGTCTCCACCTTCGCCTCAGTCCTGTCTTCCATGTTAGCTGCCACATAAAGTTTCTTGTTTTTTGTTTTAAACCTAGGTCTAATTCTGTCACTCATTGGCTCCACACTTACTCAAGACCAAAAGCTATGAAGGGCCTCCAGCTCCTGTGGTCTTAGCCACAAGCCTCTCCCTCTGTGACCTGCTCCAGCATCTCTGCCACCATGCTGTTCCTCACCCCCACCTCCTGGGCCTTTTCACTTGACTCTTGCTGCCTAGAATTCTCTGTACTCCTTATGGCCCACACCCACCTAGCCTGTCCTTCCTTCCTTGCGTTCTGTTTTCTTTCTGAACACCTTTAACTCAAAACAGAGCCTCTTACCCTCACTCTATTCAGCTTCCCTTGCTCATTCTTGCCAGTGTTTATTACCAATATATTTGTCATAAAAAATGTCAGTATCAGAGGTGGGTGGTGATGTAATGGTCATGTGACAGGGCTTACATGGAAAGGTCCTGGGATTGTGTCTGAGGACCTCGCTCCATCAAGCAGCAGTGTCCAGCACCTCAACCTCTATTAAATAGGTGGGAGGACCAGCAGTTGGCATAAAGGCTATGTCGCTCGACTCCCATCAAGTCGACCGTGGTTCGAATCCTGGACCTGGTGGTGTAAACTCAAGCTGGGCGTGTGTGTGTGCGTGCCCAAGATCCCAAGAGGAGAATGGAGGAGAAGGGATTGCAGCATGGCCATCCCCCCAGGAGGTGATTTCTCACTTTCTGTCTCTCTGTGTTTCTGGCGAGCATGTGCGCGCTATAGCAAAAACTTCTCCAAAAAAAAAAAGTTTAAAGCAGGTGGGTCCCATCCCCAGTTCACTGCAGGCCCTGAATCCAGGCCAGCTGAGACAGGGTAGCTCACAGTGGAAGGACCCTGTTGGGTTGGGGATGCCTGCTTCTCTCATGAAAATGAATAAGCCTTTGGGGGGGAAAAAAAAAGTATTAGTATCTGTGTATTCTGATTTCCTACACTGGAATGTACACTCTGAGAGAAAGGACTTTACTGCTTTAAAAAAAAGATTATTTATTATTTTTTAGTTTGATCAAAGAGAGACAGTGAGAAAGCAAGGTCCTGGACTCGAACCACGGTCAGCCATGTAGGAGTCTAGTGCTTTGACCACCATGCCACCTGCTGGCCCCATTGCTTTATTTTCTGTATCTAGACTAACGCTTGGCTCATAATAGCCACTTCATAAATAACTTGCTGAAGGGAGGACAAAATCATCACAACTCCTCAGAGGTAATGCCACCTGCTATTTTACAAGTAAGGAAGTGATTTTAGGGACTTTGCCTCCAGGCTCAAAATTAAAAAGGTTTATGGCAGAGGAAGGTTGTAGGTGCCAGTTTCTGGATTAGAGTCCTACAGCACGGTCCGCCTTAGGATTATGTACTTGGCAAACAGCACCTAACTAATCAGCTCTTACTGTAGAGAGGGAAAGAACTGTCATTGGGTTAAAATTCAGAGGCTTGGGGCCGGCAGGTGGCGTGTGGTTAGAGGCATTGGACTTCTACATAGCTGACCATGGTTTGAGTCCTGGACCTGGTAGCTTGCTTTCTCTCTCTCTCCTCTGTCTTTCTCTGGTCAAATTAAAAAATAACAATAACAACAAATAAAGTTAAGTAATTCTTTTACAAAAACTCAGGGGCTTGTTCTGTGTGTTTTGTGTCATTTTTAGACAGGGTCTCTCCCTGTTGTGATCTTCCTGCCTTGAACTGCCCCATTGTGTCCCATGTAGGTGGGCTGCAGCACCACCATGCCTGTCTTTTAAGGGTGAGCCAGGATTGAAGGCAGGTCTCCCACGTGGCCTCAGCTTGCCTACAGAGTATTGTCCCATACACCCTGCATCAGCTCCGCCAGAGACTTGTTAATGTAGGTGCTTCCACATCCATTTCTATTACAGATAACATCTAACAGATTTATAGTTGCAAAAGAGCAACATTGTTTCTCAAGTTAGCCAGACTGGATCCAATATTGCTTTTTAGAAAAATAATATTGCCTCTCAAAAACTAGATGAACAAGATAGGTTTTATAACAATGATTACCATTTTTTATTCTCTCGATTAGGACATTTTTCATAAACATTTTGGCAAGAAAATCCTTATTGAAAATGTAGGACATTTCCCTGTCTTATATACATTTTTAAATGACGGCTTTAAAATCAAAAAGTGAGGTTGAAAATGAAAAGCCTGTTTATAGCGTCTAATCACTTTACATGCTGTGTGACCTTGGGTAAGTTACCTGCCTTCTCTGTTTCATTGTCGATTTTGAGGCTTAATAACTATCTTTAGGAATAATCTTGAGAATTAAATGATTGCATTGACTTAACATGCTTAAAGTGAAGTAAACAGGACATGGGCTGAGGAGTACACGTAAGAAATGCAATTTCATAATTGTCTTCATTTTGATTGTACTGAATTTGATATGAGCATTAAATGAAATACACGTCGCAGTCCCTACTACACAGGAGGAGCCTAATAAAAGGTTAGCTTTAAGAGCAAAGAACTGCACTACAAAAGTAAAGCGAAACGCTGCGTCATAACGTTCACACACTAGCTTTTGGGCCTCCCGTCCTTAGCCTCAAAGTGCCCATTTGAACCTAAAGGAAAAATAAATCAATGGACAAAAAGGAAGTGGGCAGTGGTCATTTGTCCGTATCGTGCAGAGTCGCCTGGTAGCCCGAGAACGCTCGAGGCAGCGTCTCCGCTCAGGCCGGGGCTCCGGAAGACTGTCCGGCCTCCGGGGAAGGGACCCCTCGCCCTCCGCCCGCCTCGTAACGCGGCTGCGCCCCGCAGCGATTGGCCTCGTTGGGCCGCGGCGCCGGCGGCGCGCTCCTATTGGCTGAGTATGTTTCGCGCCGAAAAGGGGAGCGCGGGGGCGGAGAGCTGGAGCTGTGGGACAGTGGCCGCAGGAGTGCGCTGCCAGGAGCTCGGCAACTGTTTTGACGTGAGAGCTGGCGGCTGACTAAGCCGTGGAACCAGGGCGCAGTCGCCATGTTCTGCGAAAAAGCCATGGAGCTGGTTCGCGAGCTGCATCGCGCGCCTGAAGGGCAGCTGCCCGCTTTCAATGTGAGGGAGGCGGGGCCGGGACGCGGGCGGCTCGGGGGCGGGGCCGGGACACTGGGTCCCGGGGGCGGGGCCTGTGCGAGCGACTTGCTCCTCCCTGGAGGATTCACTTTCCCACCTTGTCAGCTCCGGTGTTGGAAACAAGAATTTTGGAGCAGGGCAAATGTCTAATAAAGTAGGTTAAAAGCATTTGTGCTTATAGTGATTTTGTGAATTTCCTCATCTGGGTAGTTTAGTGTTTTTGTGTGTATAGTTTTGTTGCTATTCCTTATTTTAACCAAGAATTTACTGATGCCCAGTAATAGTCTAACATTTGTTTCGTCTTCAGGCGAGTAAGGAGCCTCTGGCTCTTTGGTGCCACTCTGGGGCAGTTACTCAAGCTTTCTGTGCGCTCAGCTTTCTCTTAAGTAGAAATGAGGGTGACGGTGGGTATAGTACCCAACTCAGGGTGTACGGAGGGCTCAGCCAGGAGGTCTGTGTGAGGGTCTCCAAACAATGCCTGACATGCCCTTGTCAGTGTTGCTGCTGATATTCGGGCTACTGTTACTTCTGAGATAATTGCTCTTATTTCTCTATCACTACTGCCCTAGGCAGGGTGCTGAGCACTCGACCTACATTAGTTTTTGTCTTCATGACAGCTCTTCGAGGTTTAAACTGTTGTTTTTCCTTTTTTCCAGCTATGTATGCAGAGACTTGGAAAGATTTAGGTGCCGTAGCCAGTAAGAAGTAAAGCTAGGATTTGAATCCTGCCATTCTGGTCCCAGAGGCTGCATTCTGTATTCTCTGGCCTTTGATGTATGAATTTATGTATGTTTTAAATTTTACCAGAGGGCAAGTGTGCTTGCCACAGAGAGAGACAGAAATAAAGTGAGAAGCATCTCTATGGGGCATGGTCATACCACAGTCCCTTCTGTTCCATCTCTCTCATTTGGGGTTTGTGGGTGTGCAGGTACATCCTGTGCGTTTCTCAAGTGCCCAGATCTAGGGCTCCAACCACACTGCTGGCCATGAGGGATCCAGCCACCTTAACCCCTATGCTACTGGCTGGCCCTAGTCTACATTTTGTACCCGTCATAGAATAGCCACTGTGTGGCTACCAGGGCACATTCTGCCAGGAATGGGCACAAGATATAATAGAGTGCACCACGATAAACGATGTCAAAGGAGTGTAGACAAGGAGCACAAAGGAGATGCGCTGATAGGAGCTGGGGTAGAGGAAGTTACACAAGGTTACGCAGTGACCTCTGCTCTGAGAAGGGAGTGAGGCATCCTAGCCCAAGGATACTGCAGGACAGAGACAGCCACAAGGTCACGTTGGACATGTGGGGAGATTGCCAAAGTGGGTCTGTGGCCTAGAAGAGTTTGATATTCACTCGTGTGGCATTTTGGAAACTGGTAGAGAATTTTAAACTAGTAATTTCTGTGTATTGAGGGTAACGACAGCAGCAATGTGGGGAAAGGACTAAAGAGAGGAGAGTGGGGCAGGGAGACCATTAATGGGTGATTGTGATAGACCAGGTAACAGGTGTGTGGGTCCAACTGTCAGGTTAGTGGCACTGAAATAGCGTCTGGATATTGAGGACTTGAGTCAAACAGAATCAAATTATTAGAAGAGGGCAGCAATGGGTAGGTAATGAATGCAAGGGAGGAATCTGGGTCTTGGAGAATTCTCAGATAACTTAGTAAACAGCATCAGAGTTCAGGGGCCAGTAGGTGGTGTGGTGGTTGAGGTGCTGGACTCCCATGTGGCGGATAACGGTTCGAATCTGGGACCTGGTGACTTGCTTTCTCACTCTCCCTCTCTCTGGTGAGATTTAAACAATAATAAAAATTTTTAAAGGGGTGGGGGGCAGCGATAGGTGGATATGAATGGGAGGGAGGAATCTGGGTCTTGAAGAATTCTCAGATAACTTAGTAAACAGCATCAGAGTTTGGGAGGAGAAGAATGTTTGGGAGAAGATAATGAGTTTTGTTTTGAACATTAAAGAGCACCTAGTAGAACCACCGGGTGGTGTAATGGTTAAGATGTGAGACTCCCACATGGCCAGTCGCGGTTCAAGTCCCAGACCCAGTGGCTTAAAATTCACTTCAGGCCTATGTGCACGTGTGCCTAAAATCCTGAGAGGAGAATGGAAGAGAAAGTGTTGCAGCATGCCATTCCACCTGGGGAGTAGTTTCTCGTTTTCCCTGTCTCTATCTCTGATAAGTGCATGTGCCCTATAGCAAAAATCTCTTAGAAAGAGCTTAGTGTGATAATTCGATCATTTTATAATACAGTGAGGAATCTTGAGCCAAGAGAAGTTAGGGATCAATTTAAGGGACTTTCTTGAACTTACAGCATATTGGAAGGAGAGCTTCAGCTTGAACAGTTTCCTAGATTCTAGCCTATTGTGCTTTCCACTTTACAACTTGTTACCTCATTCAGAGCATGGGAGACAACAGTGGGACACACCGTGGAGATGCCGGAATGCAGGAGAACATAGGCTCCAAAATGCTCTCATGCTGGAGTCGCAAAACTAGGCCCTTCAGGGTTCACCATCCACTGAGGAAAGGGTCCACGGAGACAGACAGACTTGTCAGACAGGCACTGGCATGCTGGCCTTGGAACCTGACTCTGTAGACCCTTAGTCTAGCTCTCTTTTCCCTCGGATTTTAAGATGTGTTGGTTTCCCACTTCTAGAAGCCAGGGCAGATTTGGAAGTTGTAAAATCACCCCCTGGTCAAGGTCTTAGTCTGGTAGAACACCTTGTCTCAGCATGCGTTCCACTGACAGACCCTCCTGCCGCACTCAGCAGCCAGGCAAACGGAGCTTTGGAGGCTGGCCTGTGACACAGCTTTGTGAGAGAGGACAGGTGGTCTGAGAGGTCCATGTTCATTCCAGGGAGCCAACCAGTGAGTGTAGAGCAGGGACTCCTTTCTGTTCCTTCCATAATCTGTGTTGTGTTCACAAATGACAAATGATTATTGCCTTTCCATGTAGAACTGATTTTTTTTTTTTCCTTAAAAGTATGTTTTTAAGAAAATCTTCTCAGGCTGTCAGTTCTGCAGTGTGAGGTGGGGGCACAGAACAGGTATAATTCCTACTATATATGAAAGTTTACCTCTGAAGGGTTATGTATATTTTACAAAATTATTTCGTATCTGGCTTTTGTATACCTTCGGTTATATTAATTGTACAAGAATTTCACCTATTCCTTAAAATACTGTTTGCTGATAAAACGAATGTTTAACTGGATTCTAATAAATTAGACGTTTCCATGATTTTTTTAAAATCAGATGATTAAAGGGAAGGTAGAAGTCATGCTCACTTTGTTTTTCATCAGGGATTCTCTCTTTTGAGCAGCGGTAAGTAGTTGAATTTGTAATTGTGCCAGTAGTGTACCAAAACATTTTTGCTAATGCATACATTTTGGCACTAAAATAGGCTGGGGAAAGTAGATGGGATCCCTTGTTTTTGAATCGTTGACAGATTTTTTTGTATAACATTTATGAACTTCAGAATTTTTTTTTTTTTTTTATTTTTCCCTAGTTGAGCAGTAGGAATACCCCTTTGGCCTCCACCATTTTTGTGTGTGTGCGTGTGTGTGTGTGTCTGTGTTAACGTTTTAAGACCATTTTTCTGTAAACAATAAATTGCTTACCTACTTGGCATATTTCAGTAGAACTATTGATTTTTTTGTTTTATTGAGGTTTGATTTATGTACAACAAAATATTTTAATAGATTTTTTAAAATTTTTAAATTTTTTGAAAGGTTTTTGCTATAGGGTGCGTGCACTGGCCAGAAAGATAGAGAGAGACAGAGAGACAAAGTGACAAACCACCCCCCAGGGGGGTGACCATGCCACAATCCCTTCTCCATTCTCCTCTCGGGATCTTGGGCACACACGCACACACGCCCAGTGTGAGTTTAAGCCACTGGGTCTGGGACGCGAACCACTGTCGACTACAAGGTAGTCCAGCGACACAGCCATTACGCCAACTGCTGGTCCCTTTAATAGATTTTTAAATTTTGACTAATGTATACATCCTCAGTACCAGCTCCAGTCAAGATTTCTGGAACCCTGGGGTTCTCCATCTGCAGCTTTAGGCAACCATAAAGTGTGGTTTCTCTGACAACAGGTTGTATTTATGTCTTTTTAGGTGTTGCTGGACCCACTTTGCCAGCTGCTGGCAAACTTATTTCTGTCAGGGGCCAGATTGAGTCACGTAGAGTATACTCATGTCTGGCTTCATTTGCTTAGTATAATACATTCTAGATTACCCTTATTGTGAATGTTGTCAGTAGTTCATTCCTTATTATTGTGCTTTTTCTTTCCTTTTTTTATTGTGGCAAAATATAATATGAAGTTTGGCTGTGTACATTTCAGTGACATTATTTCCATTCATATTGTTGGGCAACAATCACCCCTGTCTATTTCTGAAATATTTTCATCACCCTAAACAGAAACTCTGTCACCATTATGCAATGGCTTTCCATTCCCTCATTCCCACAGCTCCTAGTAACCTCTAATCTACTTTCTGTCTGTGAATTTGCTTATGCTAGGTAGTTAGATAAGTGGACTTATACAGTAGTTGTCCTTTTATTTCTGGCATCTGCCGTTAATGTTTTGTTTTTTGTTTTTGTTTTTGCTAGAGGGTGCATGTGCTCACCAGAAAATGTGAAAGGGAGAGGAGGAAGCCCCTCCCATAGGGTATGGTCACACAGCAGTCCCTTCTCCATCTCTCCCTTCTTTTGGGATTTTGGGCACATGTGTAAACATACCCAGCATGTTTCTCAAGTCACAGAGTCCAGGACTCGAACTGCATGATCAGCCATGTGGGATCTGGCTGACTTAATTACCAAGCCATGGAGCCAGCCCCAAAATAATGTTTTTAAGGCTCGTCCTTGTTGTACCTTGTATCAATACCTCTTTTCTTTTTATGGCCACCCAGTGGAATATCATTTTTGGTTTATCCATCTACCAGTTAGTTGATGGACATTCGGATTATTTCTGTGTTGTTGTTTTTGTGTGAGAGACAGAGAAAGTGCACGTGCTCCTGAGAGAGAAAGAGTGAGATGGGCACTTCTGACAGTCTTAGCACATCGCGGTCCTTCCTGCCCCAGCTCCCAGTGAGCTGGACCACAGGCATGTACCACTGTACCCTGTCTGTGTAGGTTGGGCCAGGAGCCAAACAGGCCTCCCTGCGGCCCAGCCTCACTCAGCAGCGCCCCCCCCACCGCTACCACCACAACTGTGCCTGCACTTTTTGATCACTGTGAATAGTGCTGCTAAAAACATCTGTGTACACGTTACTATGTGATCATATGTTTGCTGTTCTCTGGAGTGTATACCTAGGAGTAAAACTGCTGGATCATATTCTAAATACATTGAACTTTATAAGGAACCATTGGCTTGTTTTCCTCAGAGCTGTACTACTAATACTTTACATTCTCAGCAGTGCAAAGGTTGCCATTTGTCCACTGCCTTGCCAGCACTTGTTATTATAGCATCTTAGTAGACTATGAGGTAATTACTGCTTTTTGGTAAGATATATAAATCAAAGAAATTTAGTACAGATAGAATATTGCCATAGAATCGGTGGAAAAAATTCATGAATTTATATCAATGTCACTTTATATGTTTTAGGAGGATGGACTCAGACAAGTTCTGGAGGAGATGAAAGCTTTGTATGAACAGAACCAGTCTGATGTGTAAGTTCTGTTAAGATTGATGTTTTAAAACTATTTAAGAAATAAGGTGTTGAAGTCAGATAACATTGCATTTTTAGATGTTGTTATTATTATTATTTTTAATTCTCAGTAAGCCTGGCCATACTCTAGCTGTATAAATTAGCACAGGGCTATAGGGATTTGTGCATATCTGTGGGGCTTACATAGTGCTTGGCTTATGGAATATGTTTAATAAATATTTGTCTGACTTTATGAATTGAAAGAAATTATGGTAAACCTAGAAGAGATGAGGCGCAAATAAAAACCCTTACAAAGTGAGAGATACTGTTTCCACTGTTTCAAAACAGACCCTTTAGCACATTTATTAAAGGGAGAATGGGTGATTCGCTACTTAGGATTTTTGATAGCTTGAGTGGAGTTCACTAAGTTGAGTAGGCCAAGAGGGCTCCAGATCGATGTGCTCTTTAGAGCTGAGCAGGGTAGTCGTCCTAATGTAAAACGTGGGCTGTGCGACAGACTTCACAGGTGACTGTGACTTGGTGAAGATTAAGGTACAAAGAATATCAAGACTGGATCCAAGCTACGAGAATTCAAGTACTCAAGGTAGAGAGAAGCCTGTCTCTATGGCATGAGTTTTCCTCTTTGGTTTGTTAGATACAGTGTTTATCAGTCACTTGGGTACAGAAATCAATAGCCTGCTGATAAGATTTATGGAGCATTCAAAATGATAGCATTTTCTAACTTAGAGTGTTTCGGGATAGATACAAACCATCTTTACAGGTGGAATGAGGAACTGAACATCTGTAGGTATATAGTAAATGTGAGGCAGATGTTGTCTTGAACCCCAGTTCAAAGCCACTGCTTGATTCATTCAGTAAGTGCGTACTACCCTGTTGTGTGCCAGCAAGTGGCTCTGGTATTTCAGTGGTAATTCTCAGTCAGGATTCCTGAACTCCTGGCCTTCACAATCTCGTGAAGGCAGATAGTGATTATTAGACACACCAGTTGGGAGACATGCTGTGAAGAAAAGTGGCAACCAGCTAGGGAGGATAATGAGCTGAAGATATAACTTAGGTGGAGGAATCAGGACTCAGAAAGGAATTCCTTACTCTCTAAGGAAAAGGCATTTCAGCTGAGGCCTAAGGACAAGTGGATTTTCTCAGGGCAGAAATTGTGGACAAAAACATGCAGGGCCCTGAGTCATGAAAGAGCTTGACATACTCAGGAAACTGACAGTTAAAGAAGACAGTATGGTTGGAGTTTAGCCAGTGGCAGAGGGTAGCACCAGATGAGATGTTTAAGTGTGGGATGCTGTAGCATGTTTGTGTCATCATCAGGTTCTGATTAAAATTATTTATAAAAAGAAATTGATTCCTTCTTAATTACTCATGTGTAAATGATTTTTTTTAAGTCCTTATGTACTTAATATAAGTACTTGATGTTAATTTGTGCATATTTTATTTTTACTATTTCCTTATAACCTGGAGCACATTATGAATAAAATAAATCTGACTTTCATAGAGTGGCAGAAGAGTAGGGAACCGATCTAGAAAAAGGGGAACAGATCTAGAAGATGTGATAGGATGGGAATTGAATTTTTCCTGTACTTTATTAAGATTTATTTATTTAATTTTTATTTGTCATTATTAATCTTTTAATTTGACCAGAGGGAGACAGAGAGAGAGAGACAGAGAGAAAGTGACAAAGCAGGCTGCCAGATCCGAGACTTGAACCGTAGTTGGCCAAGTGGGAGTCCAGCGCCCTTAACCGTCATGCCACCTTCGGCCTCAAATTTTTCCTGTACTTTCTCACCAAAAGGGAAGCACTACATGGAATGAGAACATAAGACTATAACCTTATGAACCATATGTTAGCTCTCTTATCTCAGCACGATAAAGGGCATTCAAAAAGCAGATGAACACAGTGTTTATCATTTGGAAACAGTGAAGGTTAATCAGTATGCAGAAGTGCAAAGTTCCAATGGTTAAACAAAATGTACCCGATAGTATGATTTTAGACAAATTATTTAGCTTTTGTCGTTTATCTTTTAACATATTAATAAAAGCTCTGATGTGGACATAGTTACTACTCGCTTAGGTTAACTGCTAATCATTAATGAATAAAAACAAGCAAGCTAGTCTGTTGTTAGTTGGCTATGAAAAGTTTACTTACACTGAAACGTACATGTGTCTTTTTTTTCTCTTTAAATACTCTTCTCAGCAATGAAGTGAAGTCAGGTGGACGAAATGATTTGATACCAACCATCAAATTTCGACACTGTTCTTTGTTAAGAAATCGACGCTGCAGTGTAGCATACCTGTAAGTTCTGGGTTTTTGGTTGGGATGGCGGGGAACACCAGAGAATTTTCCAGGTGGTTTCCCTAGTAATAATTTTAAATGGAAAATAGAAAATCTTAAAAAGAAAATCTTTCTTTGTAAGCATTCTAAATTCTTTTCCCATTTTTAAAACGTGTGTGTGTGTGTGTGTGTGTGTGTGTGTGCTTTTTTGCTATAGGGCATGTGGGCTCGCCAGAAAGACAGAGAGAGACAGACAGAAAGTGAGAACTCACCCCCCAAGAGGATTGGCCACGCCGCAATCCCTTCTCCTCCATTCTCCTCTCGGGATCTTGGGCATGCACGCACATGCACCCAGCGTGAGTTTAAGCCACCGGGTCCAAGACTCGAACTGTGATTGGCAACATGGGAGCCAACATAGTAATTACACTAACTGCTGGTCCCATTTTAAAGCTTTTTAACATGACAAATGGCAACATTAATAAAGGTACTTAGCACCCATGGAGCTATCATATAGATTGAATAATTAAAATTTTTTTTTTTAGAGATTTTTGCCATAGAGCACATGTACCACTGGGGAGATAGAGAGACAGAAAAACAGAAAGTGAGAAATCATCCCCTGGGAAGATGGCCACATCTCAATCTCCTCTCTTCAGTTCTCTCGGGATTTTGGACACGCATGCACACATGTCCAGCATGAGTTTCAAGCTGCCGGGTCTGGAACTCTAACTGCAGACAGCCAAATGGGAGTCTAGTAACATAACCATTACACCGTCTGCTGGTCCCAGATTGAATGGTTTTTAATGTTTGCCATATTTACTTCATTGTGTTTTATTTATTTAGACTATAGTATATTTTTAAAATAATTATTTTATTTTATTCATTCATTCATTCATTCTAACTTGACCAGAGAGAGACACAGAGAGAGAGAGAGAGAGATAGAAAGCGGAAAAGCAAGCTACCAGGTCCAGGACTCGAACGATGGTTGGCCATGTGGGAGTGTCCAGTGCCTTAACCACCATGCCACCTGCTGGTCCCAAGGCTACGTATTTTAGCGTGGTCAGCACTGAATATCTAGTGCCTCTTTTTGCATGACTGCTGTACCATTGTCACAGCTGGACAAGTGAATAGTGCCTTCAAGGAAGCTCCCGTCTGTAGCCATGTGTCCTCTGTGGTCTCAAGATGTCTTCTTACTGTTGGCTCGTTTGCATCAGGGGCCAAGTGAAGTCCACAGGAATATTTAGGTTGGTAGCTTCTGGTCCCTTTTTTATTCTCATGCCATCTAATACCTCCTTAATGTCCTAGGTATGACCGGTTGCTTCGGATCAGAGCACTCAGGTGGGAATACGGCAGTGTCTTGCCGAACGCTTTACGATTTCACATGTCTGCTGAAGAAGTAAGTTAGCATCCTTGTTCACAATCAAAAATTTCAAAAATGCTGAGATTCTAGCATTGTCTACAATAGTATTTTTTGGTATTTCTCTTTTTGTTTTACTTTGTTTTTCAGCGATTTTTGTCCTGTATTTACTTAGTATATACTGTGATGGGAAGTATGTGGTAGATTCTAAGTTAAATTTAGAATTTAATTCTTAGTTTGTTGTGGGAAAAATCCATTATTATTTAATGAAATAGATTTTCATTATGTTATTATTAGCGATCTATTAGTCAGATTAAAAAACAGGGAATTTTCCATAGAAATTCTGTATAGACTCACACACATTTACAAGTTTGTATTTGTGATGAAACTTTTGATCTGTCCCATCACTGCACTACAGAGTTAGCCTCCAATTTAAGGACATAGGATTGGAGTCAGGCAGACTTGGATTCCAATCCTGCCTTTCCATTAATTGTTTAATATTAGGTAAGTAACTTTCTCTAATCCTAAACTTCCTCATTCATGAAATGAGGACTATGGTGCCTACCAATCACAGGATTGCAGTGACTTCTTACACTGCCTACCTGGAGTTAAACTTCTCAGGTGAGGTGCACAGTCTCCCACCACTGCCCTCACTTTTGATACTAGCCATTAGTTCAGGAGCCCCACTCTTCCCCTGGGCTCAGTAATTTGCTAGAATGACTCACAGAACTCAAGAAAGCACTGTACTTAAACTGACTACTATAGCAACGAGGATACAGATCAGAACCAGCTAAAAGAAAAATCTTGTAGGGTGAGATCTGGGATACCCAAATCTGAAACTTCTAGAATCCTCTCCCTCTGGACTCAGGACTCATCACCCTCTTGACATATTTGCATGTAACAGTTATACAGAGCATTGTCAGCCAGGGACACTCCCAAAAGCTTTGGTGTTGGTTGGAGTTTCATTACAGAGGCATGACTGGATCACTGGCCATGTGATTGAGCTTAGTCTCTATCCATTCTCCCTTCCCCAGAGGGTGACTGATAACATGTACCCAGAGCCCCAGTCCTCTGGTCCCGTGGCTGGTCCGTCTGAGGTGGCAGCCACCATTCTGAATCGTCTTATTAGCATAAACTATCTTCAGGTCCACCTGAGTCAGTTCATTAGCACATGCTGCCGGGGCCACCAGGAATACAAGGTATTCCTGTCACTCAAAAAATTCCAAGGATTTAGAAGCTGCCTTCCAGGAACAGGGAACAAAGCCACCCGAATTCACTGTTGTTCAACAGGGTTATTACAAGGCTTACGACAGGGTTACTTCAGGTTACTGTGATTGTACAGAGCACGGTAGAGGACTGCACTAGCTACATGCTTACAGTTACTGTCAGAGCAGCATCACACAGAGCTGAGGGAGCCATGCTCAATGTGCTCGCTGTTAGCATCTGCGTAGTTTTGAAAGTGGATGTCCATTTGCTAGCTAACTTTTAAGACTTTGTGAATAGCTGTAAAATTGGCAAATGATTTCCTTCTACCTAGTGTCCTCATCTATCAAAAGGAATAAGTTTGGCCTCCTTACTCCCAGTAATGGTGTTTTGAAAAACTGAAGGCTGAAATCAGGAAAAATTACTATAGGTACATGTTAGACAATGCTGCAGGTTTCTCTTCTCAAGCCGGGGCTTGTTGGCAGTTGTAGCAACTGCTTTAGACTATATTCTCCTAACAGAATATTTCTGGTTATTGCCAAGATCTCACAGGAGATCACCAGGTCTGTGTCATCATGTGCATTCTGTGAACCACTGATAGTACTTCACAGTTGAGGCCATTGGCCCAAGTCAGCCACCTGTACTCAGATCCCTGTCCTATTACTTATTAACTCTCAGCCCTCTGCTGAATTATCTAATCACTCAAAGCGTCAGGTGTTATCAGTAAAAAGAAAATGATGAAATGATGGTAAGACTTGTATCATGGGGTGATTACAAGGTGTTAATAACGTGATGTGTATTAAAATTTTATCAAATTTCTGGTACACAGTAAGGGCTTTATAAATATGAGCGGAGATGTCGATGATCTCAATGTTGTTGACTTTTTTTTTTTTTTTTTTTGAGGGTTTTTTGTTATAGGGCAGCAAATGTTTTGCACCCACTGGGGGGGGCCCGAAAGGGGGAAATTTTT